TACAGCTCGCGAAAGATGTACGGTGAGAAGCTGCAGTTTGAGCTCAATGACCGTGCGCAGAAGCACGGTTTCCAGAGCAAATGGTGGCTCACGAGGGCACAGGCGATTAAGAACTCCCTTACTTTTAAGGGAGGCGCGCGTAGTTCCATCATCCTTACAAAAAGTTCGCTTAAACTGTTTCACTCCAGCCAACTGATTGGTGGAGAGGCTCTGATGACACACCCAGTCTCTGGCGGATCGAGGAAGTTGTACAGCAAAAAGGGCGAAGCTTTTCAAATTCTTTCGGATTATATCCGTCAGAATAAGTTCAACAGTGGTCTTTACTTTACAAATCGCCAGCTGGAATTTTTTAAGCTTGCCGTGCAGCCAAGCCAGACACCGGTGTCACTAGACGTCACATCAGGGGATCGGTATCTAATCTATAACGTGGAGCAGCTTGAAGATCCGGAGCTGGCGCTCAAGACGCTGGATCGTTCCCCTGTTAATATTCCAACGTTTCTTCTTTCTGGGGAACCCATTCAAAATGAGAGTTTGAAGAAGCTTCCAAAGTTCAAGAGCAATTACTGGCTGAGTGGTCGCGATGCGGAGTTGTATCAGTGGCCTATCAGGGAGAACGAGAAGAAGAAGGGAGTACCACTGAAAAATGAGGGCAGTGCTTCGCTTCAGGTTGAGCTGTATAATGTGGAGCAGCTTAGCAACCCAGAAGAGGCTTTTGCAAAGGCCGGTCTCTTTGTTCAGTAAATGGGGGAAGACGAGGGAAAATAAAAGGAAGGGAGAAAACATTAGTAAAAAGAACATTAATTATATTCATTTACCTATATATATATATATATATATATATATATATATATGTATATATATATATACATATAGATGGCGGAAAGACAGAGTGTAGCCGCAGACGTTGGCTCTGGGTAAGATGATTTGTGCACGTGCATGCATACATACACTCGGGCACGCACAGGAAAGGAAGATGAACATACATTTGCACACGGACAGTGTGATTTGGCTGATGCTTCAATGGAGGGGAGGAGGGAGGGATATATTACACATAATAAGATAAAAGTCATAGAGAGTGCAGGCGAAAGGGAGGAGGGGAAGAAGAATAAGAAAACGAAGAGTTTTCGGGGAGTGCAAACCATCATAGAGAGGAGGAAATTAACGCACAACTGTCTATGTGCCTTTTTGTGTGTTGTTTCTTCAGCCACGTACTCCTTTTTTCTTTTTATTATTATCTTTTTTATTTTGTGGATGGCCTGTTGTTTCACTTCACCCATCGCTAGTTCTTTGTTCATATTACCGTTACTATTATTATTTGTTTTTTTTTTTCTCTCTGCCTTTCCTCGATTTTGTTTGTTTTCTCTCGTCTCTCTTTCTTTTCTTTTTCTTTTTTCTTTTTTTTGAATCCTTTTTGACCTCTTTTTTTTTCGGTTTTGTCGTCTGCACACTCTTCCTTGACGTTTGTTCTTCTCCTCATGTCTGCTGCGGGAGCGAGTAGGGGGATGGGGGATAAGGAGGGAGGGATGGAAGGGGGGAAGATAAAATAAAATAGAGAAACAAAAATCGAACGTGAAGAGACGAGGGGAGAAAAAAAAAAAAAAAAAGAGGATGGACGGAGAGAAAGAGAGAGAGAAAGAGAGAGAGAGAAAGAGAGAGAGAGAGAGAGTATGTGTGGTGTGTGTGTGTGTGTCTGTTACCACCGCGGCTCCATGCATAGAAAAAGAAGACAAGAAAAAAACAAAACATGACGCCTCCCACGTCACACTTCGTTTTCGTCCGTCTTCTTCCTCCACCTGTTTGTGTTTGTTTCTGTTTGTTTGTTTATGTGCGTGTGTGTGTCACTGCTGCTGTTGGGTGGTGCCTCTCAGGCCTGCAACATTATGTGTGAGTGTGTGAGCGTCAACGAGACTGCGTGCATGATGGCACGCCCATCGACACACACATTCGTTCACACATCTATTTATTCTCAACGCTTAGAGCATAAATTTGGGGAAAAATTCTTCACCCCCTTCGTCCCTCTCTCCGAAGAGACAAACAAACAAAAAAAAAAAAAAGAAAGAAAGAGAAGAGACACGAGAGATAAGAAAAGAAGATGCATTGATTGTTATTTGAACACATGCATGCGTAAAGAAACAGACAAACAAAAAAAAAAAAAAGAAAAAAAAAAAACGGTCTGCGGCAATGTTGTCTTTCGTTTGTCGCCAATACGACACGTACGGAGCGCCACAGAAGCGCACCACCACCGCCAGAAGATGCGTCTGTACACACATACACACAAACACACAATTGATGCATACACAACTGAGCAATGCTTTTTTGTTACTCCCTCTTCTTTTTTTTAAAATGACGTCATGTTTTGACACACACATGCATACATAAAAACGAGGTGGCGAGAAGGAGGGAAAAGAGTGCTCTCACTTTTTTCAGTGGCGGTGGGAGGTGAGTAGCAGTGAGCACATCTGCCCCGAGACTCACACCGCCGCAGCAAAGAGGCAGAGCTCAGCCCACACACACAAACACACACACACACACACACACGCTGACCCCACTTCTAACGTCTACATTCTGACAGACATACTTTTTTGCGGGACCCGCGTGCACAACTTTGGAATAAAACGCAAATAACAGAGCAACACGGATGATGCGGCGTTCAAGGCCTTGCGGCGTTGTCTTCACTCCGGCGATGCCGCATTTGGAAGGCTTCCTCAGCCGTCACGTGCGCCCGGATCATCCTCTTCGCCACCACCCAATGTGGCTGTGCGAGAGTGATCTATCACATTGCCCTAACTGTAAATTTGACGCCACCAGTGTACAGAACAGCGGCGAGAGGAGAGTGGCGAAAAATATGCCCATGGTGGTTGCGCAGGTTCCAATGAGTACGGTTCTATTTAACATGGATCAACTTTTGCCCGAGAGTGAAGCTCACTGGCAGCTTCCTATTGCCACAGCGGCAACGTCAGTATCATCCATGCGGCCATATGAAGGCCAGGCACAGAGGCAGCTGGAACATCGCCGAATGACATGTGGCTTTGAGTCAAACTGGTGGGGCACACGCCTCCAATGGCGGAAGCGCGGATGCCACCTTGACCCCAAGGCAGTTCCATCTGTGTTACATTTTCACAAAATGACTCGACTTGTACACATCTCGATGCTTTCTGGTGGAAAAGAGCTGCTGAAGGACTCTTTTGTGTCTGGGAAGACCGGGATTATTAGGCAGTTGAGTGTCTCAAATGACCTTTCCCAGTTGGCTGTTAATTTCTGTTCTCTCGTAAAGGCACATTTTGAGAGGCATGGCTTTCAATCCCCGTTGTATTTCTCGAGAACTTTGCTGCGGTCTGCCGGGATCGCCATCCGTCCCGATGCAGACCCTCTCGATTTATCGCCACTCGATGAATGCGAATACAACGGACCCGGTGTCATGGCACATAATTCACATGATGTAGAGGTGTACACGCAATACTACCACCTTTCGCAGGTGATTTTTCCAGAGAATTATAGAATCCCCCCAAGTGTTCTTGAGGCAGAGCGGGAGAACCCCGGTGTGCCCATTCACGGAAAGACGGGTGAGGTGCTGAAGATACCGGAGCTGCAGTATGAGGCGATACTGAACTCCCCGTCACCAGAGCTGGCGCCTCTTATTGCCCGCGACCACGAGTCCGAGCCTGCGGACTCCTTCTCGGACTTGGAGTCACCGAAAACCATTCGCGGGCGAAGCCTGTGGTACTTGCCCCATGACCTGCTAGAGATGGGTGGTCTGGTTGATGTCAACGCCGTGCCCGTAGAAGTGATGGGTGGGCAGGAAGGGCAAAAAAAATTGTGGAGGCTGCTTTACAACGTGGAACAACTACTGCTCCCTGTTGAGGGTTACAAGGCCGTCGGGCGCATCGGGTGGATGGCACAGTCCGCTGGGAAACAACTGTCAGATTTCTCAGACGGGAATGCAGATGCCGTGACAAGTGTTGGAGGGGAGCCCAACTTCCCCTTTTGAGTCTCAACACGTGAATTCAATTCCTTCATGGCTGCTTTTTCTTCACATACATGCACCCTCAGAAACGAAAAAAACAAACTCCTCATACCCAAACACTCATACACATGCATCTATTTTATTTATCACTCCCAGAGAAAAAGAATTTTGCTTTTAGGGTTTCCACTCTGTTTTTTTCTTTTTTTTTTGTATGTATGTATGTGTGTGTGTGTGTGTATGTGTGGGTTGTTCTTGTAGGCTGCAGAAACCCTTGAAATGTGTACGTTTTATTGGTGACCCACCGTTTGGGTTTTTTTGTTTTTGTTTTTTAGTGGGGAGGGCAGCGATGGAGCATACAGATATTTATACATGCATACATCTTTATATGTGAACTTGAATAGAACGTTATCTTCCATCTTTTTTGAATTTAAGCCTTTTTTTATTTTTTTTATTTTTGGTTTTATTTTTATTTATTTTCTCTGGCCTTTTTTCTTCGATGGATGCCCGTTCATCATCGGCTCCCTAAAATAAGAAAAGTTTTGCGTTCTTTTTTTTTTTTTTTTCTTTTTTAGCTCTTGAGAGATTGGGCAGAGTACGCCCGGCAGATAAATTGGCCTCTGCTCTGTGGACAACGCCTCTTTTTTTTCTTTTTTCTTTGGTTTCCTGTCCTCGGTTGCAGGTAGGAGGACACAAACTTTAAAAGGCGGAGACGATTGAACGGGAACTCCCCACGCATGGCATGTGGGATCGCTGGCTCATACTTCTTTGCGCCCACCGCTCTCGCTAGCTACACGCATCTCTTTTGCACCACGCGGGTGATGCGTCATCCCGGAAAGATTATTATTCCTAGGCTGCCAGGTGGGCGGCCGACGCATGTCGAGGGCGCCGCACCTTCGGGACTTCCCTCACCCTCGTCTTTTACAGCGGCATCTCCCTACCGCAACGAGTATCGTGAAAGCAAACGTCTGAATTTGGGGGTGGCGCAGTTTTTGGACACGGAGGCTGCCGATACGCTGCGACGACAGCAGCAGCTCCATCAGTTTCGCACGGCGACGGACGAGGCGGTGACCAAAGTGTGGCGTGACTCGAAAAGCCACCTGCGACGCCAGGAGAATCTCGTGAAGGAGATTGGGGTGGAGGGGGCCGTGAAGGAAATTCTGCAGCCCACACGGACGTCGTTTCGGCAAGAACTTCGCCAGCGGCCCTTGGATCGCGGCATTCTCGAGGAAATTTACAAGGGACTCCACGGAAGACGCATCGAGAGGCGACTGAAAAAAGGGGTGTCATGGGAGCATTGGATCACGAAGGGCGACGGCACCGCACCCATCTTTACTGCCTCGCACAAGGCGCAGCAAACCTTTGCGTTTGGTGGTGCAGTTCGGCTTGAGGCTAAGGCAACACACATCAAACAATTTCCCATTCTTCTCACATCTGGAAAGCGAGCTGTTGGTGGTGATGGTGGCGGATCCACCAGTCGTAGCGGCAGCATTGAGTCGGGCGAGACGCAGCGGTGTGTGCCGGAGGTTGCCTTTGTGGGAAGAACATCCAGCGGCAAGTCCTCTCTCATCAACGCCATCTTGAATGCATTGATCGCTCCATATGGTCATCTGCAAGGCACGACGAGTTCTGTGAACTTCTATAATGTTGCCAATAAGGTGATGCTTGTGGACTGCCCTGGTTACGGGTACTACAACCCAATGGAGACCCCTGCTCTGGACGCGGAGAACGCTGTCGCCGTCATGCGTGCATACATCAAGACATGTGCTCAGCATTCTACCGAGAAGAAGAGGAATAGTGAGGGGACGAAAACAAATAGGGATGTAGGGCATCGTGCATCTTACCCGAAACGTCCTATCAAACGCGTTTTTGTGTGCGTCCCGTCGCGTGGGGTTCAGAAAGCCGACACGGAATATTTGGATTATCTTGAGAGTTTGGCTGTGCCCTTTTCTGTTGTTCTTACAAAAACGGATGCCGCACCTATTCGTTTTCTCGCACGACTCGCAGATCACACCCGATGTCAGCTGGTTCACTACAAACACTGCAAGGAGCTTATGCTTACGAGTTCTTTACGTCTGGCGGGCATTGATAAGGTTCAAAACTTGATTGGCAGCATGGCCCTTGGCGAAGACAGGCTTCATGGTGCAACGACAGACTTCAGCTCCATTGTATGAGCCGGCCGATAGTAACACTAAGAATATATATATATAACACAAACACGATTACGATGAACGTTCCATTTGTGAATAGCACGGAGAGAAGCAAAGGGGACGATGTTCGAGATGTAAAAAAAAAAAAAAGGTGCAGATGCCCTTCGCGCCTTTTTTTTTTGTTGTTGCGTGTTTTTTTTTTCCTCTTTCCCTTTTAAAGTCCTTTTTTTTTTTTTTTTACCAGCAATTGCTTTCGATACATCCGCAATACGTGTCCGTCTGTCTGTGTACGTGTGTGCTCTCCTTTCTTTTTTTTTTTTTTTTACATGTTTTTCTGGAGTGATGACATCGTTATTTGGATAAAAACAACAAAAAACAAAGAAACAACCACAACAACAAAGAAAAGGAAAAGAAGTTTTATTTGGCTGAAACTAACGTGGGGGGAGAGGGAGAGTGAGAAACGACATCCCCCGGTCACGGAGCAACCGCAGTATCGATAGGGATCGTACCCGTAGCATTAGTATTGGTATTATTAAATCCATAATAGCGGTCTTTGCGTCTTTATTAAATATAGGCAGCATAATAATTTTTTTTTTTTGTGTGTTTGTGTGGCTTAAGGAGATACACGAAAAAAAAAGGTGGGGGTGTCTCTACCGATGGATCGAAAGCAACGCATAATTAAATACGGCTCTCTTGTCCACTTCTCATGCGAGGAAGGATATATTGCTGCGACAGGACTGGAAGCTGAGGACCTGTTCATCCGTGAAAAGAATGGCACCGATATCGATGAGGAGCCGCTGCCCCTGCTGGGGTTTGAAACCAGCGTCTTTCGGATTGAAGCACCCGCGTCAAGCCTTACAGCAAAGGCACAGGAGGCGGTAGCGGATCATTTTAGCAACAATAACACGCTTCTTATGGAGCACTTCAGCAACATCAACACGGCACCGGAGCTCATGTATGGGAAAACTTTTCTTCTTTTACATTCCGTCAGCCAGATGTGCGTGGCGGTATTTCCATCAAGGCCGTCCAAGAGTGATCCTAACTGTGTGAGGCTTGTGCTTGTGAAGCCCGGGGAGGTTGAATCGGACTTTTGTGAATTTGTCATGACGCCACGGTACAAAATTCATGACGATGGGGATCCCGTGTGTCGCGGCGATGAGGTTCTCCTACGACTGGCTGCTTTTCCAATTTTTGTACACGTTACGGGAAGAAAACATCCAGGCTTGAATAAATGGGGCATGCCGTTCGAAGAAGACGGCTGCGATAGTAGCATCAACGCTTTTGAAAAGGGTTTGGCCGCCGGCAGAATGGTCGATGACTTGCGTTCAGAAGTAAACGGCTCAGAGGAAAGGGCGGTGGGTTTCGTGGTGCAGCGGTATGACATTGGGAGGGATCAGGCAAACTATCAACGTGCCCTTTACCACATTGCCCGGCCATACGTACCATCCGGCGTGCCAGTCTTACTTTACCACCGCGAGCGCGAAAGTTTTCTCACGACAAGCCTCACGTCGGAGTCAAGGCAGCAAAAGGAATCTGAGGAGACCAAAAAAACAATGGGGGCGAATGTTGTAAGTGGGGGTGATAATGGAATAAGTGGCGGTGCCTTGTCAACAAACAAAGAAAGCTCTTTTGTGGAGGGTGTTTTTGTATCGAGAAGTGCCACACAGTTAGAAGGGAGCGGCACCTTCACCCCTGATACGCCGGATGCAAATGATAATACGGACAGTGATGTCGACCATGCTGGGACACCGTTCCCGTTGTTGATGAAGGACGAAACTTCGACGGGCTGTGTTTCTAACGAAGGAACTGCCTTCAACGACGTCTGGCGCAGTTGCACGGCCCTCTGGATTTTGGAGAATGAAAATTCAACGATAGGGGGCGCCGTGCGCATGCAGTCTGTGAAGTATCGTCTTCGACAGGCGTGTTCAAACATGTATTTGGCGGTTGCTGGCTCTGGTATTGACGCATTTTTTGAAGGTAATGGAGAAAGCGATTTTTCAGAATCGGTCGATGGTATGGGCGCGGCGGCGTTAGAAGAGGGCAGTGATGCAGGCAGCAACAGTAGCCGGAATCAATTGAGGGCCGCCTCACTCTGTATGATACCACCACCACGCACCACGAAGGATTTGCAACGCACTCTCTTCACGTTAACTCCCATGTTTTTTACCGAATGCAACTTTCTTATTGAGAATGATTGCTTGACGCTTCAAAATGTGTTAACGGGAATGTATGTATGCACACAAGAGGCGAGAGACCGCCTTTTTCTCCAGTGGCAACCATCTGTCTCTGATACCATCACTGTGCGGAGTTCTCGTCAGGAGATTGTGCAGGATGTCATGTTTCTGAGGTCACACTGCGAGAGACTCTGCCGGTATCGTGATGCCTTCCAGGCTTTGGCACGCTTAAAAAAATCGCGACATCCGTCTTTTCATCGGGATGGTGGAGGCTTGGAACCATATCCCGGAAAACGCGAGAGTTCCGACTCGTGTGAGGAAAATTTAACGCCTACGAGGGCAGCATTTGTGCAGGGCGGCGCTCTTTCAACAGATTTTGGTGTTTCCAGTTTAGGGCGTCAAACGAGGACTACTGAGACTCCGTACGCATCGATTCTCCCCATCATTTATGCCTCTCAGAGTAGTCTGGAGGAACTCATTCGTTTCTGTTCGTCAGCTCGCGTGCGTGATGCTCTCCGTCTTGACGGTATTCCGATCGTGCGGCGTCAGCGGATGATATTTGAGTTAAATATCCACCGGCTTGTTATGGATGTCATTCTCACGCCCTTTTCCCTGCTACAGTCGGAGGAAACGGATGGCATGGGCGATAAAACCATGAGTGGAATGCTCCCATGGGGCTGCAGCCCACGATTGCCACCGTTGCCTCTCATGGGTGGGTTTTTTTGCATGGGCGATGCGTTGGATGATGCGCATTCAGAGGTGCACCTTGTTTGTCGCCTCGCCTTTCGATTCTTACGTCAGATGGTGCGCAAGGCAAAGATGCTGAAGAAGTGGCTTGTTGAATTCATCCCATACTTTTTGGAACTTGGGGGCCACCGCTTTCGTGTGTCTGACACAATGACGGAGCTGTTTTCAGAAAACAACAGCGTTCCAAGACCAGTTGTGGAGTCTGTGGCGGACCACTTCATTGGCTCTCTTCGCCGCGGACGCAGTGCAGGTCATTTGAATCTATTGGCCTCCATGTGCACCGTAGGATTTAGCGGTATCTTTGAGAGACAAGCCATGGTGTGCCAGAAGCTTCTTGTTGAAAACAGCGAATTGCTTTCTCGTTTTGTGCTGAATCAAAATGGGGAATGGGCGGTTGTGGTGAATGAGGGTGAGGCTCCTGTCGAGTGCGGTGCCCTTTTTGAATTGATGCGGCCCCATAATTCTCAGCAGCAGATGGGCTCCGATGCGAAATATGCCAGGTTTTTACAGAGTGAAATTCAATTGCTTGGCTGTTTGTGCTTTGACGGCTGTCCCTCCAT